TTGCAATGTACTGTTGCCAATGTGACAAATTTGACAGAAGACCACTAAAAATGGCCAACAAGTGCATTTTGGGAGCAACATGGCGGAACTGGGGATAGTTTTCGTCCACAGTCCTTCAAGCTTTTTGTGCGCCTTTCCATTGCAGACATGGCCATTGAATTTTGTGGCAACTGACTACTCGAGCAGAATTTTGGTTCTATTTTTTTCCCAAGGGAAAGAAGCACTGCAGGACTCCTGACCCGCATTCACTGGATGGCTATTATGGGTCCCTTGTAAAAGCAGTCACCTTCTGGACCGTTAAGGCTTGTGAACGGAGGGCGTGCTCACCTTGAGCCAGTTATGGGAGCGTTTGGCGATTTCATAGGTGGCGTCCTTCTCCAGAGTCTTCACCATCAAGCCTTCGCACGAGCCTGCGCGCACACACACACACGCACACGCACACACACACACACACACACACACACACACACACACACACAAAGTTGTCAGGGTGTGTGAGGCATCACACAAACTGACACACAAATAAATGGAAACCTCGGACAGACTGCTCCAGGAACTCTGCGATGGTCTCCGTGTTGTCCGAGTCGATGAATCGGGCAAATACAAACTCTCCTTCCGCTTCGGCAAAGGACTCTCGCAGGAGCTCCCGACGCCGACACAGTGGCTGTCGCACAAGAGACTACCCCCCCAACATGCACACACGTTTAATGTTGTTTCCCTTAACAAAAAATGGCAAAAGTGTATCTTTTCCACTTTGCTTGCAGCCTTGCACTGACAAAGATGCAGTCAACTTTGGTTGCAGTCAGTCTCTCACACACACACACGCACACGCATACACACACACCCATCTTGAGAGAAAGGTACGGATACAAAATTGAGCTGTTGGCACAACACTACAATGACCCACATTGCACGGTGAGACAGATGTACGAGGAGAGCACCGACTGACTGGTTTTCTGAAAAAAACTTGTGTTAAAGAGGCTCAAGAGGCAGCCATGAATTGAGAAAAGCCAGTAGTCTTTTTTTCACAACACGTTATCTTCGGTTGTAAAGGGCCAGAAACGTATTAAGCAAGCGGAATAAGCAGACTCAATAGCATCCGTTTTATAGAGGAGGAGCCACTGCAGTGTGCCGGATGCAAACAAAACGGTGGCGGCGGCAGAGTAACGCCGAGTAAATAATGTAGCATCAGAAAAGTTATAGCTGTGTTAGGCCACGCAATGGCACAAATTAGCCATCACTGTTTTAATTAGCTAATTTGTTTCGGTCCACTGGCGGGGGAGGAACACAACTACGTCTGCTGATTTGCATTTTGCCGGCGACAACTTTTGGGAATCTGCTGGCCTATTGTGTGTCTTATTTGGAGGGGAGGCACAAACACACAGGTTGTGTGACACAATCTCATTCACACACACACACACACACACACACACACACACACACACACACACACACACACACACACACACACGACCCGTGTCACTCAAACGCCCCGCCCCAAACAAGTACACAAACCCGAAAAACTACACAAGCAACTAACCTCCCCCACACATGTAAATGTGCACACGCACACGCTGCAAAGTCGCGGCAGCTGTGACCTGCTGAAGAGTTATTCGGAATTATTTTGAAATTGATCACCATGGAGGAAACGACAGCATAAAAAGGAAAAGAGTGCCTCATTGTACAAACTGCAGGATGCAACGACTGAGATTCGGTTTGAGTAATTGACTACATTCTAATGCTAATGGGGTGAAACGAGTATGAGTAATTTGGAAGCCTTAATTAAAAAAAAGTATATATTTTTTATGCCTCGGGTAACCGTTTATTTGGCTTGCACCTGCGTGTTCCTGCTATCATTGATTGGTTAACTTGACTTGCGTTTAGGGATGAGAATTGATCAAATTTTTACAATTCTGATACCGTTATCGATTCCGTTTAACGATTGATTATCTTATGGATACCTTTTTTTTGGGGGGGGAAAAAAGGAGACGAAAGAAGTTGTTTTATGTCTTAATTGCAACAACAAACTTACAAACCCAACAACTGTGTGGTCTTAAGAGGTCCACAGCCCAGAGCTCCTTGAGCTCCTTGAGATCTCTCTCTCTCTCACTCTCTCTATCCATATAAAATCGTCACCGACATATACCATGTAAATGTGACAACCTGAAGCTGTAGTGTAATGATTACCTCTCCATTGAGGTAGAGGAGATCAAAGGCGTACACACACACTTGGACTTTGATGTCGGCTGCATCCACATCCTGCAGGAACAGACGCACAAACGCGCACGCACGCACACGCACACACACGATTAATGCAGTTTCCCTTAACAAAAAGGCATGCAAATAGTCTGCGACACTCGTCTTATTCACAAACTAAATTGCCCAACCTTGGAATACTCCGAAAGAACGTCTACCATTCATTTTCAATTTGTTCTCGTCACGTTATTACCTTTTCGCAGCCTGGCATACGATAATTAAAACATTCACGCGGACAGACGATAAACTATTCGTCACATCAGATGTGCTAAAAAGACTGCAGCGTCTGATAAAAAGCGTCTCATAACTGTCTTCTCCCCTCATTAAAGGCAGCGAATAATTTCACAGAAATCAGTGGTGCATTTTTCGCACCTCCGCTCAGGAAAAAGTGCACGCATGAAAACGTTTCAACAGTACACAATGGCAGAGGTAAAAATGGCACACATCTATCTACAAGAGAATTTTTCTTGAGCTTGAAAGATGTGAGTGTCAATTGCAACCAGGGATAGACATGATTATGATTTTTTTTTTTTTATTTTGGCTCATCAGCCACTGCAGCTGGTGAATCATGGATGGGATTTCCATAATTAACTTTTGATTCATCTCTTCTAAACGTACAATAAAATATAGAGTTTTATCAAATTTTACACACCCTTGATAGTTAACATAAAAATGGACCAATGTGTTTACCTAATAAAAATATGGCTGTGTTCTTTTAGTTCAGTGATACTGTCATTTCATTGTACCGGTAGTTATTTTAAGTTAAAAAGATATCCACTTATAAGGAGAGTGAAACATTTGAGTCAGATTTTTGTTGAGATAATGTTGCATTAGCGTTTCATGTTGGACAGCCACAGCAGATTTTTTTTTCCTTTTCGAACTATGAGCAAATTAAATGGAACACAAAGCAACTCCTGGACTCCTGCCTATTCGTTCCCAGCCTCCAACAACGGTGATCTATTTGCGCTCATCCTTTTTTAGTCTGGAGGCATGTCAATCACTCACTGTGTGTGTGTGTGTGTGTGTGTGTGTGTGTGTGTGTGTGTGTGTGTGTGTGTGTGTGTGTGTGTGTAGTCAAAAGAGCAAGTGACTTTGCTTCACTCAAAGGGATCTCGGAGTGTCCATAAGGACTCCTTTGAGAGCTGTAGCAACCTAGCTCGGCGCTAACTGCTAACCGGCAGCCCACCAATACTGTTTTCATTGATGCGTAATGCTTTTTTTTTTTTAAATGGCATTTAAGGCCTTAATTTTTTACAAAATCTATCGTGACTAAGGCCCACGCACAAACATAACCCAAAGAGAGTGCCACCTACAGGTAAGGAATGCACACAACACTGTTGTCAGCTATTTACACCATTTTCCCTCTTACTTGGCTGGCAACGACAACAGCGCCAACTGTATGTGAAGGGCGTGACTGCATTTGTGCATCAGAAGGTCATTACAACTCACGGTGAGTCTACCGAGGAGGTTGAGGCGTCCCTGAGAATCAAAGCACAACGGCTACGTTCATCTTGACGTTCTTCCATTAGCGCCAGCTCCTCATCCGTCCTGCCCTTTTCTTCATCTGTGCCCATGTCAGCATCAGGGAACGAGAGGAGAGAGACGACAGAGGACGCGTCCTCCGCCGCAGTCATGTGATTTGTGTGCCGTGTGAGCGCTATTATTCGGATCAAAAGTGAAAAAAAGCCAGGCTGGCATTTGCAATCACACAAAGCCTCTCCCTGCGCCATCTCATCTTCACCCCTCTTTCCATTGCGTCCCTTTGACGCATCCCGATCAATCTTTTCCTCCTGCTATTGGATCATCTCACTCCATCAAGCCGTCCTCCCTCCACCTCCTCACCACCACTTCCTCTACTTTATCGGCCCACCGCTTTTCAAATGCAAATGATCCAGTTATGTGTGCGCGAGGTCATTATTTCTATCCTTTTATTATTGTTCTTTTTTTTTTTTTTTTTGCTGTTTACATTGCTTTTGTTTTGTTTTTAATTTGTGCAAATTTGTCTGCGTGATGCCATGTCAGTTTGTGCTCTTCAGGTTGGTAAGCTGGCTATTACTCGATGAGCCTCATGTCGAGTTGCTTCGTATGTGTTCAAGATTTTAACTGATAACAAACTCAAGGCCCGGGGGCCAGAACTGGCCCGCCACATCATTTTATGTGGCCCGCCAAAGCAAATCAAACATGTCAACTTCTATTATGCTTGCTAAAATCTGGACCAAAATTTCAACTTCTCATATTGTAATAAATAAGTGAGATATTGTCAGCATTTTCTCGTTACCAGACCCCTCATTTACAGTCACTTCAACAATCGTAGAATCAACCATGATTCCTGACTTCTTTAAATGATTCCACAATCCTAACGGCCCTCCAAGAAATACGGTCACTTCAATGTGGCCCGCGACAATAATGAGTTTGACACCCCTGGACTTTAATGGCTGAATACAGTCGACTATGTAACATGGTTGTGGATTATGCTAGAAGGTGGATTATGTGGGCTGATGCTACAAGATTCTCACTGTTTTAAATGCTTTGCCGCCGTCTTGTCGCATCGATGCACAATTACAAACACGCCTTTTGGGGGAATGAATTCTTCGGAGAATTTCACTATTTATTTTATGTCATATAATAAGTCATTCAAAGGTAGACATGGTAGTTGTGTTTATTTGGTGTTAGGAATATGAGCGGTCCTTGGAAAATAAGTTTGAGTACGCTAGTTTTAAAGCGCCTCCACACGTTTAACAACCTTCCTCTTATTCGTACCTTTCTCTTGCGTGTGGTGAGGACCTGGAACGGCTGGATCTGTTTCTTCTCGCGATCCCACGCCACCGCCTCAGAATCCAGCACGCAGGAGACCACCGAGTCTTTCTTCACCTGCCAAGGAACGCCAAAACTGAAGCCAAAAGTACATTTTATGTGTGGCTAAGGTGAAAAGCTAACAAGAGGAGTCTAGATCTTTCCTCACAATCCATATCAAACAGAGGCACCACCCTGGCCACATTGATTTTTTGGGGGGGTGGGCAAAAGGACAGATTTAAATTCATAAAATTGAAGAACATTGGTCTTCACTTCTAAACACACGCAAACAAAACACACAATATACAGTTCATAACGTGAACACTAACTGTGTGCACACACGCTCGCACACACAGACACGCAGTATAAACAGGTTGGAAGCGTGCTACCGACACCTACAGGCCTTGAACGGATTTTATAAAGACTTAAATGTCTAGTTGCTGAATATGTGATTTATTACAAAGCTCCTAATGAATTCGATTTTTTGGTTTTAATCCAACTCTGTCCACTAATTAAAATGCCAGACAACTTGGAACAAGTTGGAATTTTTGCTCGAATAAACTGAAATTGGATGAGACGAGACGGCTTGCTAGTTTGCAATCCTCAGTGGTTACGGGCGTGGTAGCGTAAAGACACAGACATTATAACTGGGTTGGAAAGCGTAAATATTAAAACTGTTCAATATTTCCGCTGGATGTGTGTGGTCAACACACGTTGCGGCCGAGCCAGGCCCGAAATTTTGCACTTTCCTACTTTCTGATCAAAGTCAGTGAAGTCCAGATTCTCCTCAAAAACCTGTGCAATAATCCTTTGATGTTCTGTTGTGATTTTCCTCCGTCAGGGCCAACAATCGTTAAAAGTTAAATTCGTTCCACACTGGCGTCTGGTTGTGGTGTACGTTTGTATAACGTGTCTCACAAATCGTTCACCACTTGTTAAATGATGAGGCGAATTTGCGATCACGATGGAGTTACCACATCATGCTAATACCCGCTAGGCCGTCTATGGAGTTTCACATTATATGTTAGCATCCAACTAGCAGACTTTTGTTGGTGGAAATTACCAATATATGGTTTGGTTGAACATTTTTGGTGCTTAAATATCCAATGTTTGACCCTGCGTTTTATGTGTCAGATTCTGCTAAAGGTCATGGCCTCAAGCTACCCAGTTTTACAGTCAACTTCAACTGGGAGTGGCAAATAAACAGCTTGAAGCAAGCCTACTGTGCATCTTATTTGGAGAACAGCCACTAAAGGAATATTTAAAAACAGGAGTTCAGAGTAGGTTAAGTCATGAAGAGCAACAGGAGAGGTGGGGGTTGATGATACCTCACTTGAAATGGACTCCACATAGGCGCATTCTTCAACACGGCGTCAGTCCGACGATTACTTTGCCACCCGTCTCATCACGGCGCATCAGACGTAACCACTTGTGATCAGCCACTTTTTAAGTCGGAGTCGGCCCTAACGAGCGGCTAATGCATCTGTATTAACACAGTGCCACTTTGGACTCATTGAAATGCAAAGCGCCGTCTCGCCGGAAGCTGCCTTACTCCAGACATTCATTGTGCGGCCGCGTCGCCGTGACAACCCAATGCTAATTCCAAATCCCTGTTCACATGATTGACTGACTGTCCATTCCCCACCCCCACCCCCCCGCGCAAATCTAGCGAGGGACAAAAACAGTAAATCACTCGCAATGCATTCCACACCATCGGAGTTAAGTGAAGTGTCACCGGTCTGAGAGGAGAGGCGGCGATAAAAAACAAACTGGGAGAAGAACGAGAAGAAGGCCAAACATCCGGATGTGCATCGAGGTGCGCAGAGAGGAGAAAAAGAAGCTGTGCAAAGGTGATAAAAAGACGCCGACAGCCCTAGAAACACCAAAAAAAAAAAGTGAGAAGACAGTCCAAAAATTGAATAAAAGGAATGTGTGAGAGTGAAGGCACCAGAGGCGAGAAGCCAGAAAGGAAAAAAGGTGACAAGAATGTATCAAAGCCTCCCCCCACCCCCAAGAAGGATGAGAGGCATGACATGGGTGAGAGGAAGTGGTTTCATTAAAAAAAAAAAAAAAAAAAAACAGACAAGCTAGCAGGTTTGGAGGATGAAAGAAGGCACTCCTAGGCAACAAGACCACGCCAATATGCACTTTGTCCAGTCGGGCACTTAAGTGTTTATTTAAGTGTGCTACATCCATTTTTTTTTTTTTGTATGATGTTTTTCTAGGATTGTCCTCATCGAAACATTTAAAAAAAAAAAAAAAAAAAAAAATCACAATAATTGATGTGTGATTATCTGAAGCATTTCGTAAATTGTGTAAGAAGTGTCCAAAGTGAGACAAAATAAAAGCATGCAGTATTAAGTGACAGTTGTACCACATGTCATGGCTTACTTAAAAGTCACACTTAAAAGCACAAGCGCAAAATAGTTTGGATTGAACTGCTGGGGCCAAAGAATGTGTAGTGAAACTTCTATTATACTGGCACGCTTTTTTATTTTGAAGGCCTGACCTTTGCCAGGATGGTACACCAATGGTGTCCCAAAATGTGGTGCCAAACAGACCGGGAGGCTTGTTTTATATCTCGAGTTATTAAGAAAAGCCGCTGCCTCTTGGCCACTTTTTACACAGTACGACAGTAAGTTCCAAGTGGTGGCAAGAAACGCTGTTGCTGAATTCAAGAGAATGCTAGAAAATGGCGCCCCTTGAACTTTATCCGCCTCATTAGACGTTTGTATTAATTTCGCACTCTATTTGCATGTAATGCTATCGTTATGCTCTCTAAATGTAATTGCTGTTCATGATGTGGAGTGTCCGGAATGGACGTTTTAGATTTACAGTCTTTCTTAATTGGAAATATTCATTTGAATTTCATACATCTCAGTCATAGTCAAACTGGACTTTCATCCAAAGCTGACAACATGAAAACTTGCTTCGAAGGTTGTGCCGCGCACATCGGGAAGCCTTTTCTGTCCAACCTTCAACCTGAACAGGAAGCAGACACTCACGTCACTTGGCGAAGCTTCGCCGCGCTGTGAATGAGGGCAACTACACGGCACAACAAACAAACAACCTCTACTGAGTGACGCAATCGTGCGAGTAACTCAATTAAATATTTTAACGCAATTAAAGCACGGGCCCGCAGATATACGAGTGACATTTCAGTAACAGCTGCGTGCCAACAAGCGTGAATGAGAACGGCTCTAATAAACCCATGTAGCCTCATTTGCTATTTAATTGCAGTTCCTGACTAGACAGGAGCCGGGGGGCTCAGTGGGCGCCAAAGAAACGAGCGCTCACTCTCGGTTAACATCGGGCCGACTCGCCGTGCTGGTCCAGTGGATCATCTTGCGATTGTCAGCTTAAACATCCAAGTGACAAACACCAAATGGCAGCTCCAGACTAAGCAAAAAGGCTGACAGTTGGACTAGGAAGAACTTTAGGTGGAGGTAGGTTGTTTTTTTTTTTAATTAGCAGTCCATTGAGTTGGTGTCACTCACATTATTATGTCCTGTATATAGAAAGTGCCCAACAAAACATAGTCATATGCAATCCATGTATTTTTAGAAAATAGAGCATCGAGAGCAGCGGTTCCCAACCTTTTTTGCCCCACAGACCGTTTTAACGTCAGACAATATTGCCAGGGAACCTTTAAGGCCGAATAAATACAACAAAATAATATGATATGACCTGTATGAAAACTGTGGTATTTTCTAAACATAATAATAAACACGAAGCCTGACACGGGGAATGTCCAATGTGTCCGCAATGGTCTCCGGTCACCATGGTAACGTTTAAACGTTTTTTCAAAATAAGATACTCCGCAAATACAAAGTGCATGAAAAATACAGCTCACCATCGCCACATATTGAGCAGTTATTGCCCTCTTAGAGGTCTAACACTTAGAGGTCAGTTATAGTCGACAGCAGCAGCCTCCTAATATCAAGTACAACTTTATTGTCAAATGCGCTTTATGTGCAACATACAGCACAGATGAAATTTCTTCCCTCTCAAAAAGATGGAATCATTTTGTTAATTCTTATTCCGCAAACAGATTTTTGATCAGGCTACCATGCTTAGACTAGTGGGGGGCACTCTGTGAACATACTAAACATTTTATTGCAAACACATTTGCCAACTTGACTTCCCCTTGCAGGGCAATGTTTTATATATATATATATTATATATATATATATATATATTAAAAATTGGTTTGAAATTACTTGTGCATTAAAGTGGTTTGGGCATGATGGTTTGTGGTGTATTTCAGGTTTCAAAGATTACAGTATTTAGGCAAAATCTCTGTGTGAAACTCTCCATCCAGGAGGTTACGCTGTGTCGTTGCTCCCTCTTGTCACGATGGCGGCATCATGTAGTTCACTCAAACAAGTGAAGTGATTATTTTAAACGGAAAAGTCGAAATTTGGGCGCAACCGGTTAATTGGCCGGCCAATGAAGGTATATGTTTTAAACTAATCAGAATTTTATTCTGCAAAATATTAGAATCTGCATTAGCTTAAAAAAAATCCATATCAGTCTAAATATTTCAACACAGCAAGTGGGCGTAACGTGAAGGGAGCAATGATCCACCTGCCGCATTGATAATATTTTGCGACATTTTGACATGCTTTTACCTTGGGGATACGAGAGATGACGTCAGGGTACTTGGTGGTGTTGTCCTCCTGGTTGCGGCTGAATATCCGAACCTCGCCGCTCTCCAGGATGTGAATCTGTCCAACAAAGCAAAACACCAGCAGTGAAAATGTGGATTCAGCTCAACGATGACTCAATAAAATGTAAAGGAACATTTTCCTGGCTACGTCAATAAAATGGCCAGGATCCTGACATTTCAAAGAACGTAGCATCGTAGACCTTTACCAAGGTTTAAATAATTATGACAGTGACAAAAGAACCTCCGAAAATACTTCATCAGCTAAAATAGGAATAACGATCAACACGAACTGACAAAGTCTCATTCCCGACCCAAATAAGGCAGTAGCATTATAAATAAATGGCTGGCTGGTTATTAAAATGACACAACAAGACATTTCAAAAGTGTACACTTCAAAAAGCACAGCCCGCAGCCATATTTTTATTTACACTGATATATTGAACAAATTCAGGTTTTGAATGAAATATGGCTCCTAAGATTACACTACGTAACATCCTCAGTAGGATTTTCCATGTTAATATTAACAGCCAGAGATTTAGACATAGATATCTTTTGAATCGGGTGTCAATCAATTATTCACAAAAAAATTGGTTTGGCCTGATGTTCTACTGTAGTATCTGTGACTTCTGTGTGTGGATGGCTTGAAAAGGCCTGGCCTGGTGAGTGATGTGTGTGTCAGAGAATTCGAGGGTAGCAGTGGCTGGCTGTTACACCAATCTGCCTTTGTTGAATTACTCGACGTGAGTTGAAGCCATTGGGCAGCTGTTAGCATGTGGGTTTTTCTTCCAGTTTGTTTAAAACAACAATTAAAAGCGCTCCAGCTCAATCTAGCACAGACTTACATCACTGCTGAATTTGCATTACAATTTGAAGGAACACTTTCCAATGACAGAAAGGCAAGGTTAGAATATCAAAAAGTGCACAATTAAATTCAGATACAAACATAACTTCCTATGCACAGGTTTATAATTTAGTCAACATTTTCTTGTGATGCGCGACAAAATTTAATTACACCTCTCCTAAATCTGCACCCATATGTTTCATTTAGGGACATTGTCACTCACATGATGACTTGCTTACGTGCCGCTCGAAACGGCTGTGCCCGAGACGTCAAACTGCAGTTTAGCTCTGGAACAAAACGACAACGGCAGGCAAAGTCGCCGAGGAAACAGATGCTGCCGGGGATGGAAAGTGCCTCAAACATTCCAGACATTTAAACTCGGCTCGTCCAAAAGACATTTCAGCTCATTTGCCAGCTTTGGGCCGTCTGTTTTCCCTCACTCTCCTGTGCCGAGAGAGGAGCCTAATTGCTGCGAGATTCGACGTTTTTTGTTTGGCCACATGCTGGCATCCGTAGCAGCGGCTGATCTGCTCAAGAGGCGTACAAGTAGAAATAATCTGGAGCTGGTGTGTACACTACATGAAAAGTCAACACAAAAGACAGAAGCGACTACTCTGCCATTGTTGTGAGTGGTGGTCGCTCCGATGAATACAAATAGGGGATAGCGAACCGTTAGAGATAACCGTACAACTGGGATGTGACATTTTGTTCAATTCCACCCCTTCTGCCATCGTGAGCCAAAACTTGGACTCTCGTCAACCTGAGAGTTAAATTATTTGTTATTTAAAACAAATGAAAACAGGAAATAAAGAAAAATACACAAGATAAATATTGTATGTAAAAAAAACTTGAATAACTATTTATTAAATTGTTGAACTGAATACATCCATGAATAACTCATGGCCATTATAATTGTATTGGTAAATATAAATGTATGTATGCGTGTGTGAGTGTATATTTATCATTAAAAAAAGGGTATTTTATATTGAAAAAAAATACCAAGATCAATCAAAACAAAAACAAAACCTCAAAGTGCCTTTGAATAGGTCAAAAAGTGCTTAATAAAAATGAAATGTATGATTGGCACTACAGGACAATTCGTACAGGACCGGCAAAAAAACAAAAACAAAAAAAAAAACAAAAACAATCACCTGTATGAGCTAAAACACATTATCGGTTCATGGCGCACACATCAATCCTGCAGACCGACGCGTCAACACTGACCAACGCTGCAGATGTCGACTCGGTGTCTCAATTACTGCCCTTTTCTCCTTGCACGCTGATCAATGAGCGTCGACGTTGACGAATGAACCCACCAAATATGCAGACAATCGCTCACTTGACTGATTTGATGGGTGGCTACTGTTGTTATTCACCCCACACACACACACACACACACACACACACACACACACACACACACACACACTCCAAGTGAGCGAGTATAAGAGTGCGAGAAAGAAATGTATCAGGAGTTCCCCTGCTGGCCATTACGTGAAACAACAACTGCAAAAGGCATTGAGTTTTGGATGGAGACCAGATCAAAGCCTCTTTACAGGCATGACTGTCCGGAATTAACGCACCAAGCTGGATGGGCTTGCATTACAATCTGCGTCTCTTTATGCAGAGGCCTCCTGTTGTGTCTTACATGTTTGCTTCTTCCTCTCTTATGTCTCTCTCTCGCCTTTCTTCAATCGAAAATAAAAGCTCCTCTTCATCATCCTTCCTTTAGAAGCGCTGCGCTTTTTCTGCCAGCAAGCCCAAGGGTACAGCAGCGCTAATGTTTATCTTGAAAGAATAGGTGCGCAGTAGAGAACACCCTACTCCAGTGAAGACTGTGTTTGTGTGCGTGTGTATGTAAAGCACTTCACAATCACACAAATGAAACTCACTTGCGCGCGCTCGCCATCATATTTGTACTCGCAGGTGAACGCCGCCTCGTCGAAGCGTTTCATCACCTCCCCGACTCCCTTAGTGGGGTGCGCCAGCATGGGCCTCAGGGGTACGCCTGCCACACGGAGGTGCAGGTGAAGAGGGGTGCAGGAGGAAAGGAGAAGGACGGGAAAGAGTTCATGGTCATTTTCGATAAGAATTCCTTCAAAGGACTCATGGAAATGACCAAAATAAAATGGCAGACTTCCGGTGTCTTTACGGGCATTGGTTCCTGAGACTTTTTGGTTGGTCTATTCATGATAGACTTTGCTTTTACATGGAATTGTGCACAGTGAAACTGCCCTCAGGGAAGAATTTGTATTTGAAGGACCACTGGAAATGTCTACAATGGCCGCTTTATGACAAAATGGCAGATTTCATGTGTGTTTTTGGTCATGGGTTCTCCAAAAATTTTTGATCATGCGTTCAAACTTTTTTGTGGGTCTACTCACGATAGATGCTGCTATTAAATTGAATTAAACTCACTGATAGGTGAAGCTGCCTCTAAAAGAGGAGTTTGTCTTTGAAAAACCCCAAACTGACCCTAAGATGGCTGCTTCATAGCAAAATGGCTTCCGTAAAATCAATAAGCACCGCTTAGAGATGCTTACAGTTCCTTTTACATAGCAGATCCTTATCGGGTTGTGTAATCAGGAATAATTGTTTATCATTATCAGTTGGCCTCCAGAAAACAGATCAATAAACACTTGCATTATCTTTGCAGCCCCTCGATTGGTTATTTACCTGGGGTGAGTTTGCAGTGATCGGGCAGCTTGTCGATGCCTTCTTTAAGAAGAACGGGGATGAGGATGTCGTAGTTGGGCATCTCACTGTACAAAAACAAAAAGGGGGGGAAGGTGGAAATTACGGGGGTAATAAACACAAGGAGAACGTTCGAAATATAGTGTTCTCCGCTATGTTGCGGTTCATCGTTGAGGCCCTGCAACTTGGCAGATTTTTCGTTCGATCGTTTTTATGGGCTTATACCACATACTGACAAATGGATTTTGGTGGAAAAAATATTTTTTGATTCTTAAAAGATTGTCGTGAGAAAAAAAAAATGCAATACTGTGAAAGTAACATCAAAATGTGTTCATCTACCTGTAAGAGTGGTGGAGGAGATTGTCTGTGAGTAATGTTTGCTCTCTGTGTTGCTGTGCCGTGTGTGTTTAAATAGCAGTTTAGAATTACTGCTACTTTTTGTTTACTTTTTTTAAAATGATGACCTGATAAGATCTTGCCACTTTTATTGAAAACATATTCCGTTTTATTTTTCACCTAGAAAAAACTGAAAATATGAAAGTGACAAGATATCCTGATTTTTTTGTTTTTGTTTATTTATTTATTGTTTTTTACGAACCGCAAAGTCAGCTGTGCTTACCAGTAAGTCTGTTTCAAAATAAGATTCTTCTCTTCGATCCAAGCACGCCTGCTCTCGGCAGTCATCCCTTTCCCGGCGTCCATCACGGCAGGAGAGGTACCTGGAACAAAACACATCACTCGGTGTCCATTTTTTTGTGAGCCAAACAGGCTTGTGTGTCGACATGGTTGGCAGATTGTATAACGCACCAGGGTGGCATCAGTGGTCTGTTTTATGGTTTACCCCTCGTTTTGTTTACAAGAACTGCGGGGTCCATTTGTGATTTAACGAGCCACCTCCCAATACCACACAGGGATTATATTGGCAGGCATGTATGGGAAATGGGCAAAAGTCTTGGGACGACAGTGCGTAACAAGTCATTGAAACAAGCAATATTCTTGTTCTGATATCAAACACTTTGAATCAGTCACTACAGTGGACTAAAAAAAAAAAAAAAAAAAAATTGTTTCCTATGTGTTGAGTCTTTACGCCCAAATTGTGCATCAGTCACTAGAGTGGAATATAATTTTTTAAAGGGGTTTTATTTCAATGGGTATGAGCCGTGGATTTCAATACTACTCATCAGTAACCACAGAGGACAACCGTGGATTTCAATATTACTCATCCGTAACCACAGAGGACAAAAACACTTTACATCTATGCACAGACGTTTTTTTTTTGTTTAGCTTGTTTTATCTTATTTCATTAAAAAGTTGGCAAACAGAGTCAAAGGTACATTAGCGCCCCCATGTGGGACAGGAGTGGAACAGCACCTGCATTAATCATAGGCTATTCCAAAGCATATTGCATTACGGCGGGGATGTAGCGCTCACATATTAACCTGCCTGATTAGATAACGCTTCAGCTGGAAAATAAACAAATAAATATCAAATATTAAGCGTAACATTTCCGGCGCGGGCTGCAGATCAATGCAAATCTACCCACTGAGCCCTGGGTCTAATTGGCTCTTATTAAAGCGCTGGCGAATGAGTTCTGAATGCTAATTCGCTTGGCGTTAAAACAAATTAATTGGCTGTGTGTGAGTGTGTGTGTGTGTGTGTGTGTGTGTGTGTGTGTGTGTGTGAGAGAGAGATAGCATCTGTTGAGAAGACGAAGCCCGTCAGCAATGAGTTAAAAAAAAAAAAAAAAAAAATTACATGTTCCTAATTCCTAATCATCACATTCTCGAGTGTTTGGGGGACTTCGAAGCAGGAAAAGGAGATGTTTTCAAATTCTTCAGTGACTCTGATAAAGGATATTTAATCATATTTATACGCGCTCTTTAAATCAAACATGGCCCCTTTCTGACCTCGGAGGGTGCATTATTTAAGTGCCGCATGGGTAACACAATTCGACCACCCCCCCCAACACCAGAAAAAAAAAAAAGTACATCAAGTGGAGCAGCCGAGAGGAAAATGGAACTTGTGTTTCATCCGACGATAAGGGGGACGACTCTCTGGATGATTGACTTCTCCAAAAAGGCGTCCTGACATCACACTCGATGATTCTTACATAAGCTTAAGGGGGGAAAAAAAGCTAATTACGTCTCCTAAAGTAGGAAGATGGATTGGAAAAAAAAGGTTTTCTTCTCGATGCATCAACCTTGATGTGACAGGTGCACACATCAGTCACAACACTGGGCATCCTATACACTCCCACCTACTGGTTAGTAGTTGTGAGTGGAAAACAGTCATTATGATAAAGATGGTTGACGAAAGTACTGTTCACCGTCGTCACCGCTGCACATATTTTACACCACAACCAAGCAAGCGTACCTTTCTGGGGTGTAGTGAGGCACACGGCTTGACTTAACGCCGACAGGACACTCTGCTCGGCCAATCCGATCCGCAGCTTCCCGGCTAATGACCTGTCAATTAATCGCAGCCGATTAGGAGTCGACAAATCGGTCTGGGCTCAAGTGGCGACGCTCCTCCCGTTACCTGACGATGTAGCGGGCCTCGGAGAAGCGGCAGGCCACAAAGAGTCCTTTGATGATGTCGATCTTCTTATTCATGGCCTGCGGCGGCAGAGGGACGGCATTAACATTCAGGAACGAGCAGCAAAGACTTGAGGTCAAAGGAAAGAAACAAACTCCACCGAAAAAGGAGAGGAGAGGGTGCTCATTGCTCGAGGGCGTGTTTATCAACCGAAAAGTGGTTGCCGCATGAGACTTGATGTCAAACGTTGCACATCAGTCAACTACATCAGACTGAGGTTCAAAGCAACTATCTTCTTCCGTGAATTGTGAAGTCAAACGTTGCGCATCAGTCGCTACAGTGAACAGTTACTCAGAAAGGCTGTTTTCTTCTCCAGGCACAATGCCAACGTAACCAATCAGTCAGTAGAATGGACAGTTATTCGGAAAAGACGTTTTTTCTGATACGCACCTTGATGTCAAAAATGCGCAGCAGACAACTATTCATAAAAGAAATGAAATTGGCTGATATTGTGGTGTTAAAAGTTGGATCGCTTTGTTTTAATGCGGTCCCGACTAGACTTAAGTATGAAGTGTACTCGAATCTCCGAAGCACTTAATTCTGGTGTTTCACGACTACATGTCAATTTTAGGGCTCTCGGTCTTTGGTAAATGACAACTCGTCATCCCTTTGTAAGAACAATACTTGAACTGTTGCATATTTTCCACCATGATGACTGGCTTAGCAGCGACTCCTCGGTGTGTTTTAGCCACACCAGCGAAAGCTCATTACAAGCTAGCTGGTGTGGCATAAGGAGCAGCCGCGTGTGGGTGACACAAGCACGTGAAAGTACATACGTCCAGCAAAGCGTTATGGGACGGTCTGCACAGATCTCTTATTGAAAAGACCTAAAAAGCTATGATTCTTAGCTTTGCTATTCATTGTTTGACAATGAGTCGCAACAGAAAAATTTTGACTCGCAATCCGATAGCACTTGTTTTTCAGCATTTATGCTAAAGCTAAGCTTGCTCTGTCATCTCACCGAATTGCCGCTCATGCTTGCGATCTCCTTGAGCTTCTTGAAGACGCCGCCCACCGTCAGGCTGGCCGGCCTGAACATGGTGCGCTGGTTGCTGCGGGAGCTCTCGGCCACCAGACCAAGGTCCCCGCGCTCCTGAGCCTCTGCCTTGATCTTGTCCAGCTGTCGCCCTAGCAACCACAGAGAAGCGGTGGGGTGAATAACACACACAATCATGGGTGTAAGTGTGTGAGAATGAGTAGGTGTGTGTGTGTAAATGTAAGTGAGAGAGCAAGTTTGGATGAATTTATTGGGCATATCTGTATGAAAAAGCATGTGTGAGAGTGAATGTGAGAATGTGTACTGTATGAATGTGAAATGTGAGTGTGTGCGCATGTATAAATTTGCAAGAGACAGTGTGTCATTAAATTTTATGCGTGTGAAAATGTGTTTATGTGAGAATGTGTATTTATGAGAGTGATGTGTTGATGTGTGATGAATGTATACGCGTCTAAGAGAAAGTACCTGAATGTGCGTGAGGATGTGTGTGTGAGGATGTGTGTGTGAGAGTAAATGTGAGAGTATGCTGTGCAAGACTGCGTGTGTGTGTGTGTGTGTGTGTGTGTGTGTGTGTGTCCCCATGTTACCCGTGGCCTGCGCAACAGCTTTCATCAGCACCGTCTCTCCAATGCCAAGCTCCACGCCGAGGTAGGCAGGTCCCAACTGGTTTAGACACAAGTAGACGCAGCACAGCAGGTCGTCTACACACACACACACACACACACACACACACACACACACACACGCAAGCACACACAGACGTATTACAAAGAGTAAAACATCTTCCACAAGGTTTCCACACAAAGTGTATAATATTGCTTGTGCATGATGTAGTATGTGGTGCCGATTAATGCAGTGAGACCATCTCGCCCACACACAAACCCAAACATACAAGAAAAGAAGATTCATTTCACAGCGCTTTGCAGGTAGCAGCCGCCAGCCGCCAGCCGCCAGCGCCACAACAAAGGGGGCGTTTACCTGGAGAAAGCAGCAGCACTGAGCGGAACAGGTTGGCCAGAGTCTCGATGTTTCTCAGTCTGGTAGAAGAAAAGAGAAGGGGAAAAAAATAAAAAAATTTGAGGCTTCAAACACGGCAATGCGGCTAACAAGATTTGTCTGTCTGCGGCGGATTTAAGTCCCACATGGAAAGCGGTCAAAACGTCCCCCGTCTGTGAAAGCATCTTTGCAATGTTTTGAAAGGCAGCAGGTTTCACTTACAGATCCCCTTCAATGTACACTTTTTTTTTTTTTACACTGGTCACAGACTTAATCAGTTCATTAAAAAAAATAAATAAAAATGAAAAGCACAGAAACACATGGCCAAAGCTTGAATACATCCAAACAATTCTTCCTCACTGAGAGCTTCTTAGCACATATTCATCCATCCGTATAGTTCCTGCCACCGTCTTGCGCTCTCACCTGCCAGAGTCCTCTTCGATCTTCTCAAAGGTGCGAGCCAGCGCCAGGTAAGGCACCCTGGAGGAAAACCAGGTCACACTTAAGAACACACATGACTTGCAAAAAATTCAAGTGGAAGAGCAAAAAAAAAAAAAAAAAAAAGGGTGGGTGAGGAGTAAGTATAAGGCGAGTAAGTCAGAGTAAAGAGTGAACAGCTGGGTAAAAAGCAGTTGAATAAAAAGTAGAAAAGTTGGTCAAAAATGGAGGGATTAAGTGGGTGAAAGCAGATGCGCGGGCAAATAGCGGGCGACTCAAAGTGGATACAGATGTAAAAAACTGACGTAGAAGCAACAAGGGGACGGGCGGCTAAAAAGTGGGTTCGTAAAAAGTTCTCATGTGTGTTAAAGACCAACTTTTGTCCCTCCTTCCAGCAGGCATGCTCGAGTGGGTGGTAGTTGGGTCTGGATGGGTTGTAGTCCGTTTCCGTCGACTCACTGTTGGGGGAAAACAAAAAAAATCACAAAAATGAAATCTACCTTCTGCTAGCTGTGGCTTCCTGTTAGCCATCACTTCCAGCTACATCACTTCCTATTATCTGTCACTTCCTGTTTGCTGTCATTACTTGTCCGCTGTCAATTTATGTTAGCTCTCACTTGCTGCTAGCTGTCACTTCCTGTTAGCCGTCATTTCCTGTTAGCGTACCTTTTGGCATCTTTGCTGTCCTCCTTCATGGAGGAAGTCGAAGTCGTCATTCCTGTCTTCTTCTCTCTTTCGCTCTTTTTCTCCGTCTTCACTGCAGCCTTTCTGGGAGCTAAAAATAAACCTTGTTGTTATGCAACATGACAACGATATCTGAATGGCATTTTCAGGTGCACTGACCAAAGAAGCTGCTGATATGAGCTTTCTTGGCTTCCTCTTTTGCGGCCTTGTCGTCATTCTTGTCTTCCTCCTCTTCCTCCAGCTTTTTTTCAATCTCTTCCGCATTCTCTCTGTCTTTATCCGGCGTCCTCACTTGCTCCGTCGCTGCCTCGCTGTCGTCTCTTTCTTCCTCAGCAAACTCGTCTGCGCACAAAGCGAGGTTGCGTCAGCCGTATTGAGCGAGGGCGACCCAGGCCCACTCCCGGGAAAATGGAGGGTGGCGACAAAAAGGCGGCAAAGTCGTAATAGCGGCGAACCCGTTCAAGCTCACGACAACAGTGAACGCTTCCCAGCATTTTGATTTAGTGGTCAGCTATCCATTCGGGACTCACATTTATTTTCTTCCCGGCATTTGAATGCACTTCCTGCTTTAAAGTCTCGGGAGACTTCTGTGGATTTTGTGTGACTTCGGCAGTGAGTTCGGTTGAGCTGTGATGTGTGATGATAACTAGACCCGATCTAATCGGCCGATATTAGCCGATCTAATTGGCCAATATTCGCACTTTCATAATCAGCAAAATCTGCAGATTTTAGCCAATTTTTTTTTCACATCAAAACATTACAACTTTAGACACAGATCAGGTGGTTCACTTATTTTTCCATTTAAAGCGGCAATACACATTCCGTGCCAATAGGTGGCAACATTGATCTGAAAACACTTCCCCAATCGGCTAGCTCCATTCCGTGTAAGCAAAAGAAGAGTAGTTTGCGGTATTTTCGTTGTATTTCACAGTGGTTGACTTTACTGACCTCTGTCGCCATCGTCCACACGGGCTCGTTTTTTCCGCTGACTATCGTCCGCCGCCGGAATCTTGGTGTTGGCCTCGTCCTCCTTTTGACTGTCACTGCCGCTGTCGTCCAGCTTCCTCTTGGGGAACATCTTCCTCGCTGCAGAAGCCATACATACAAATGGAGCACAGAGCGAGAGAGAGAAAGAAATACTCTAATCAATCAATCAATCAATCAAATAATAGAGATTTTTGTAGCTCCATCTTTTACTTACCCGTCTTGCGTTTGCTGATGCCTTCAGAAGACGAGACAGAGGTGGGGGTGCTAGGGGACATGGAGGAGGTGGGTGTGGAAGGAATGGCAGGGGCCGGGGGAGGCGGCGGAAGCGACATGGTTGTTGACACTGCCTTGAAGACGTCCTCTTTGACCTGTTGTTTGCCAACATTCACGACTTCTTCATCATCGTCGTCGTCGCTGTCCAAAATGCGCCGAGTGCGTTTGGCAACCTTCTTGACGGGCGAGTCCTCTTGGTGGGCCCCGTTTTGGGCCTTGAGTGGGCTTCTGGCAGCCCTGTAAGACACCACAAACATTACTAACTACAGCTCCTAACTGGAGTTCATAGGAGGGAGCCAATTCTGGCCTCCCTGTACATTTTAGAGTTGATGCTAAGATTAGTTTATTGGTCTTGAAATCTTGAAATGCTGTTGCCCCATCTTACCTCTCTGAGCTCCTCCACCTCTACATCAGCGGACCAGATGCTACTGGAGGTACCAATCACAAAATGGAGGCTCAGAGGGGATCATGCTTTTTCTGTTACCGCTCCCGCTCTTTGGAATAACCTCCTGTTATATGTTAGGAAAGCCCCCCGCTCCATGTCCATCTTTAAAACTCATCTTAAAATACATGTACTGTATGGCTTTCAACTCAGCATTGTTTTAGTGTATTTTGTGTTTACTGTTTAAAAGTTCTATTTTATATGTCTGACTTTTACTTCATGTACAGCACTTTGTCTACAGCAGTATTTGTTTTTAAAGTGCTCTATAAGTAGTCGTCTAATTTTAGTTTTTGTCAGTGCAATACTTGATTTGATTTATGTTAATTTACGTTAATTTAAAGCACCCTGAAAGGCAGTATTCCAAAATCTTACTTTTTCACTTGCTCGTCACTGGCTGTCTTCTGTACATCTTTGTCCTTCACCTTTGATTGAAAAAAGGATCTAGAAGAACAAAAAAAAAAAGTCAATAACTTTGCTTCAGTACACAACTCTTTTGTGATTTCTTTAAAACTATTATAACACATGACATGTCATTATGACGCAGCACCGCAACGTTGAAACTCAGCAAACGTCTAAATGAAAATGTATGATTTAACATTACACAGGTACCTCCAGTCTACAGGTTGGGACCCTAGCAGGTGCAGGAGCGCTTCCGCGTTTGTTATGTGACGTCACATTTAAACAAGAGGCGGCGTTAGCTCGACGAATACCGACACCACAGGCAAAATAACCCCCACCAAATCAACATATTAACCTCAAAATACACTAAGACATATTATAAGGCACTCAGGTGGCTCAGTGATTGCCTATTTAAAAAGTGAGGCAACCAGGAGCTAACTCCACTGCCCTGCTCATATAAACAAGCTAGTAGCAGTCAGGAAATATTCGTCATCACTTACGCGATGCTGCGCTGCATGTTGTCTACAGTCTTTTCCCTGAAGCGTCGAATGAAAAGGTTAAGTGGCTATAAAGGCAACGTAAAAGTCTACGTATAATCCACATACAAGGACACAGACTCCCGCGCTGTAGGTCGCACCCACAAACACTTGCAATATTCCGCGCCAAAATTGCTGCTTCCACCAAAGATCGCCTATGAAGGGAAGATGGTTTTGAGGGGCAACGGACATATTATTTAAAAACTGCTTTTTAGGAATCGTTATTTAAATAAAATGTCGTAAAATAAAGGACATTTTGCATTTGCTGTCAGTGTGTGTTTGTGTGTGTAAGAAAAGTGTAATGAGTTCAAATAACCCGAACCAAATGTATTTTGTAAATTTGACACTAGTTAAGTAAACAAATTATGATTAAGACTCATTTGAGTATAAATCATAAACAACTATTCATTTATATTAATCCATTAAATCGTGGCTGTTTGCCGACGCCAAAGAAACATCAGTCAAGGTCTTTCTTCGGTGAATATCTCCCTCAACAAAAGTGTTCGTGAAAGGCGCTGCTGTCCACTGCCGTGGCGGAGCGGTATATTTAAAAACCTTACAAATCAAAACCAAAAGAAAACGTCGGAATGCGTCAGCGGTCAGGTATTTATTGTTGTAAAACGAAACACACAAAGCAAGAGAATATCGCTATACTTTTGTTTACTGACTCTCTCTCTCTCTCTCTCGCTCTCTCTCTCTCTCTCTCTTCTCCCGCCCTCTCTCATACACACACACACACACACACACACACACGCACGCACGCACGCACGAGCTCGCCACGTTGTGAGTGCAATCTCCTTACTGCAGGAGGAAGAAAGGTGATAAATCTACAAAAATAATTCAGTACAACTTTATGGTGCTCGTGTCAAAGCCCTCCCTCCTCTCGTGAAGTTTGCTTCCCGAGCCTCAGACGACTGAGGTGGTCCCGCCAAGTGATGAATGGTGAGGGGTTCTGGATAAGAGGTGGCTGTGGGACAAATGGAGGAGTATAAGGATGATGAGGAAGGCAGCATGGTGGCAGGTGAAGCCGGGATGCCTGCATCGGAAGACCGCTCTCGCTGGGGAGGACAGCAAAGCCAAGAGGGCGGCTTGGCAGCATCTGGAGGATGGATGGAAGGAGGCATGAAAGATGATGTGGAAGGACCATCTTGATGGCCAAGGTGTTCATCGGCGACTATAGGTTAAAATTATTTGCAAAAATTGTTTTCTTTTATGTGTGTGAGTCTTCATGCCAAAGCGTCATATCAGTTACTACAGTGAGCAGCTGTTAAAAAACATCTGTCTACTTCTGGAAGCATGATATCAAAGTTGTGCAACAGTCACCAGTAAAGCTCTGACACTGTCTCTGAATTCTACATCATTCACATGCGTTGTCTGGGCTTCTAAGTGTGTGTATAAGTGAAAAAAGAGAGAGAGAGAGAGAGAGAGAGAGAGAGAGAGAGAGAGAGAGAGAGAGAGAGAGAAAGAAAATGAAGACCTGATGGCACGACGGTGGCAGACAGTGACAAGATGGCGGCAGGTGGAAGTTGACCAAGACGAGTTTGCTGAAGTTGAACTTGTACGTGAATCGCTTGCCTTTGGTCTTGTGCAGGATGCGCTTGTTGTAGTAATATCTACATATGGCATCATACAGCACAGTCATGATGATTTGATTCATTTTCACCGTGACGCCGCACGTATTTCTGGGCGGCAAAAGGCGGAGCCATTAGGAAACGAAACCTTCTATGTCATGTTGCCTTATTAATTATGAAAAAAAAATGTGTAGCTGCCTTACCTTAGAGCCCGACTCAGCTTGTCATAGTTCATGTGTGGCTTTCCCTTCCTCTCACCCCACAGCCGGGCCAGCCGCTCGGGGTTGTGGATGACGAACTCGCCCCACTCGCCACCCCAGCCGATGGTGTCGCTCTGGCCGCCGCTGCCGCCCAGCAGCTCCAGCAGGAAGTGCCACAGCTGCACCTGACGAGAGCCCGGCGACCACGCCGGCTTGTAGGCCCAGTCGGGAAACAGCACTGCTGCCAGGAGAGAACAAGTTTCACCGATTGAATCCGATTTACAGTCTTATATACTGTATTATTAAAGCCTTTAGGAAAATATTACTTCTGCGTAATTACATTTTTGCGGGAGAAGGTATCACTGAATATTTTGCATTTTGTTCAAGCCATTCCTTATAACGGGAGTTTATTTTATATATATCCATCCATTTTCTGAACTGCTTTTTCCTCACAAGGGTGTGGGGCGTGCTGGAGCCTATCCCAGCCGTCTTTGGGCAGTAGGCGAGGGAAACCCTGAACCAGTTGCCAGCCAATCGCAGGGCACACAGAGACGAACAACCATCCACGCTCACACTCACACCTAGTAACCTCTCTCTCTCTCTCTCGCTCTCGCTCTCTCTCTCTCTCTCTCTCTCTCTCTCTATGATTCAATATGTTTTTCAATGCATGGGGCGCAAAACGATTCAACGCTGGTTCAATTTAAAATTAGAACTATTCGATTCGGTTCGACTCAGTGAGATTTTGAGAAGTTATGATGCAATGACATTTTCTGTTGTCATCTTACAAACATTTGAATGAACTTGTCAGTACCGTAAATGTACCATTTCCTTCAAAGATATATAAAAGACAATTAGATACATTTCTCAATGATTTCAAAGTGGAATGATTCAATTTGATTCAATTCGATGCACTCTGATCTTTTAAATCAACGACCTTTTTTTTATGGAACGCCATCCAAAAGAAGTGATTTTGTTAGTTATACATGTTAAAATTATGTATCAGACACTTACTTCTACTCCAGTAAGGTGACGCACAATAACCGAGTGAGGATGTGCATTGCATCTGAGGAAGGAAAAAAACAGACATGTAATTGGAGTATTATTGTCAACATCTATGCCAGTGTACTGCATAAAACCAGGTTGGTGCCTCCCCTCCAATAAAATTATATCCAAGGACAGAAAATGGCAATCGATGTGTGGCATAATTGTTGGCAAACAAAAAAGTTACCTTGATGAAGAGGTATAAAATGATGATGGTGAGGTGGTCCGCTTTCCGAGTGAGACAAGACTGAAGGATGGATGTGGCTCAATCTTAAAATCTCCTCCTGGAACACCCACACGCACCCCCTACACCCCCACAACCCTCCCCTCCTTCTTCTCAGCCGTCCCACACCGAGACGGACCAGGTGATCGACGGAGAGACAGACAGTCGTGAGAGAAAATGATGTCATTTAATTTTTTAAGACAACACCTGACTTTGATGGACGAGACTGTAGAATGCAGATAATGTCAGGAAAAGATGTGATTTCAGACTGTCCCTGGAGGTGACACATGACTTGCATGTTTCCATGGATGGACAGACAGAAGAAGGAACGCTAGTTATATGAAGAAAAAGTGCAATTTCAGACTGTCCCTGAACGCATCACTTGAATTCGATATCTACTGTAGATGGTTCGCAAACTTTTTCATTTCAAATTCCCCATTTTGGCAACACAGAATTTAGATGGATAAATTTACCACTTTTTGCTTTCATATTGAGTATTTTTTGCGAGGAACAAAATGGTTTGATTTTTTTATTCTGCCCATTTTGGCTAATGTTAATAGAGGGCTAGTTTAGCTTTATAATAACTGAGTAAAGTGACTAGATTAAGGCTGTTACCTTACTTTTTTTTTTTAAATATATGACAAATATGCACCCAACAACAAACAGGACAAGCAAATATGCCCTGTGAAAAACAGACAGTACAAAACGCTGACGCTAAACACACTAAAATTCTTTAATTTTAAAGAATCAAATCTAAAATTTATTCTTTACTCTCTCTTTGTGTATGTGTGTGTGTGTGTGTACACACACACACACACACACACACACACTCTAACTTATATTGGTAGTCTTTGAGTTTGGTTAGCTGACACCAGAGGCTTTTAATTCCAGTGTAAACACACGTAGTCTGCCAGACACACATGAATTATGGATGTGGCTAATTGACTTTTAGCAGCTTAGGGGTCATTTGCCAAAAAAACAACAAAAAAAAAAACCTAAAACCTGAAACCCAACACACCTTCAAGCACATACGCACATACACATCTATAGATGTCCGCCTTATAGACATGACATCATCACTATGATGTCAGTGGACCACTGCATATTCTGCCGTTATTTTCGGAATCACTTGTTTAGCTGTGGTATTTTTCTGGAATTTTTTTTTCAACTTCTTTTTTTTTATTACTCCACCCTGTGCTTACTCACGTTTTTTTGGGAAGGATTTAATTTTCATGGCACTTTTGATGAAGTCAGTAATATGCAGATTTTAGTTTTATTTTCCAGTGATATTTGATTTAATGCAATTTTACAACATTTTGAAAATACAAATATAGTGGACGCATATTGATTATTTAATTGCCATGTAAAAAGAAAAAAAAATCAAATAAAGTTTCAAGGTATTGGCTCAAAAAACTGTCAATAAGCAGGAGTTTCAACGGATAGTGGGGGAGAAATATGCAAATAGGTGAATCCACAAATGTTGGACCGCCAATGTGGGTGCTTTAAAAAAAAACAAAAAAAAAAAACGATTTCTGCCCTCCTCCTGATACAACCTTTTCTGGAAGCCAATTAGAAAATTTTACCTCCTTGGCACAGAAAAAAAAAATCCCAATATTGTACCAGGAAGAAAGGGATTGTGGGAATAACAAGACTAATGTCTGAGGTGACATACTGAAACAAGTCTCGTCTCCCTGAGTCAACATTATTACTGCAACTGTGACAAACTGGCCGTGCGTGCGTGGGTGCGTGCGGTGCGTGTGCGTGCGCACGCACGCACTTGGGAGATAAATCTGGATTTGATCCTGCGCTAAAAGAACTGTTTGTTTTACGGCTGATGAGCGCTCGATTTAATCTGGTGCTTAGCCTTGCGCTCTTTATACTCATCCTCATCCTGCCCTTCATTTCAATCCTATCATGTACACACACACACACACACACACACACACACACACACACACACACACACACACATATTGTCTTTCCCTCTCATCCTGTCGTTTGTCATTTCCTCTACGTATGAACGCAACACATTGTGTGTGTGTGTGTGTGTGTGTGTGTGTGCGTGCGTGCGCGCGCGTCCGTGTGTGTGTGTGTGTGTGTGTGTGTGTGTGTGTGTGCGCGCGCGCGTGTGTTGAAGAGGATGATGGTATTGCAGCAGATGAGGGTCACACTGCAACGGGTCTTAAGGGTCAAATCGAGTTAGCGTCTAAGCAGGATGGTGGCTTTTCTGTGTGCGTGTGAGAAAAAGTGACACAAGCGCTTGACAACTCGAATGGAAGCAGAGTGCAGAAAGGCGACTTAAGAGAGAGAGAAATCAAGTCCTGGAGTATCATTCTTGTCCAAGACTTTGCTTGGTTGCCGAAAACATTCATATTTGACTCAGGCAAATGCGCTATTAGGCTAACGTAATATGAAATGCTTATTAGAACTGCTGTCGGTCACAACTCACATCCATACGGTCGCACGCACACTCACCGGCCAAGCCAACTCCAACTTCTGAGAGCACTCACGAGGCCACGCCCGACAAAGGCACACATCAAACATATGAATACCGGTACTTCACTTCAGAAGTGCAACGATTAATCGACAAGTACTTGATTCTCAAATAAGTCGATTAATTATTTTGGAAACTCCATGAAAGCAAGCTGATTATAGCTTTGTGTTGAATCAAAACATAACACTTGCTTTTCCTTTGGAAAACAATGATCAACATTTTTGCCTTTTTTCTGACATGGTACAGACCAAACTAGGAACTGAATCATAATTGTGCATTTTCTGAAGTGTCAATTTGAAATAATGTCCTATTTTTAATATAAATAAATTTGATTAATCAATTAATCAACAGTTCAATCAATTATTAAAATTGTAACCCTACCACACGTGATAGTTAGTGCACTTTATAAAACCATCTTATTTCATAAGATTGTCATTAAAAAAATATTTTTTACACAATACTGTTACGTTTCCTTATTAAATACAGAACTTTTTTTTCCAGGACTGGAACGGATAATTGAGATTTTAATTCATTTCAACAAGGAAAATGTATTTTATAAGAGTAAATTGAGTTTTGAACTTGGTCACAGAACAAAGATATATTTTTTAAAGTCAAGGTACCACTGTGTATATTTAGGTTATATTATTAACTATAATATATAGTGCCTCCACATTGGTGTGATACAGTCATCCGTCTCCATCATGAAGACAAATGACAAAGACAAAACTCTTGCGCCCACAGGCCACATAAGGAAACGAGTGAAAAATTAAGTCAATAAAAAGGACAATAAAGAAAAAGACCTGCAGCAAGTCACAATGAAGTGTAAGTGTGTGTGTGTGTGTGTGTGTGTGTACCATAAAAACACGATGACATCCTCAGAAGGTTACAAAGGCTCGCCGGTGGGTCAGGTGTCTCTCGGGGGACTTGTGTGGTCTTTTAAAGCTTTTCTGGTGCCAAACCTTTCGTCTCTTTTGTATCCTGGCAGGACAAAAAAGAAGAAAAAAAGAAAAAAGGCAAAGACGGGGGGAAGGGGGGGGAAGCATCCTCACAGAACCCGAGAGGTGCCGGCACAAAGAGGACCTTACTTTTCAGAAATCTGAAAATGTTTGATGTGTGGAATTTCTGCTCAAATTTTTGCCCAAAGGAAGTTAGTGAAAAAGAACAAGTCTATTTCAGGGTCAAATAAGCATTAGTGTAGCATTAACTTATGGGCAAAACAGACACATGTTGAATTTCTGAGAAATTCATATGACATTGCAGATGATAGGATTCCGTTAGCTTTTTTGGCCAACAGGCTACAGCATAGCATTAAAAAAAAAAAAACTGATAACGCCACTATAATTACATCAGACCAAAAGTGTGTTTTTCGAAGAATAATCATTTTGAGCTAATACCATCTTAGCATTATTCACTAATAACACATTGATGCTTATTTGGCAGAAGGCAATTTTTATAGTATTCTGTTATCTACAGTTAACTAGCTAACAACAGCATAGCATTATTTTAACGATAAAACATGAGATTGCCTCATGGGTATAAATAAAGTTTTCAGATTCTGAATTTCTTACAGATCAATGTGTGACCAAGTGACAGCGGTCGGCCTATATAGATAGCATAATGTCAGAAATAGGCGCTTACATCAACATCACATTTTGTTTGTAGATACTAGTTAGCTGGCAGCAAACAAATTTCAGGGGGAATCAAATGATTACATGGGCAACAGCATTCTATTAACATTTTTTGCCAGCACACCACAAATGACCATGGAGCTGTAGCTGACCACATGGCATAACAATAGGATTTTAAGATAACTACAGCATTATTTAATGGATGCCAACCTTGGAGGAGACAAAAGTGGTCTAGCATAATATTAGCATTTTGAGCTAACAACACAGCAATATTTCACAAACGTACATTGCATAATTGTCTGGCGAAAGGTGTTATTTTGAACGTTCTCTTAGCATTTTTTGCTAACAAGGGCATATTCTTTGATGCCTCATGCATGACATTGCTTACACACCAAGGAATTCTAATGACTTTTTGGACTACTACATTCAATGCTAGCTTTATGAGCTAGCATCATACCATTCTTGTAAAGTGATGATATGTTACCCAGTTATACGCATACGAGTTTTGGAAGAAAGAAGCCACACTAGCATTTGACACATTTATTTGGCGGCCTGTCGGTTCACGTGGTCCGTGAATCACAAACTGGTCCCCAAACAGGCCACAAAACAATTAACTGGTTTATTAAAACACAATCCAAATTACTGCACTGATTTGAGAACAGATTTAAAAAAAAAAAAAAAAAAAAAAAACCTGATAGAGCATCGACTGACTTCATTCCGGTAAAAAAAAATTTAAAAAAAAAAAAAAAAAAAAAAACATGATTGAGAAAAAAAAAAACCGATAAAACATTAAGGCTTTTTCTCTCTATCATAGTCATCGAGAATTCAGCGCAAAATTTGACGTAGTGTAAAAATAAATAATCGTTGCAGTGTAAGGTGCTTGGTGTGTGTTTGTGAGCATGTATTTGTTTGTGTGTTTTTCAGGCTGATCAGGTTAGTAGCTCCTGCCCCCAAAAATAAATAAATCATTACATATGAAACAGAAGTAAAAATGATCACAATTTTAGTGTTCCTTTTCCACATCCCTCTGCTCCAAGTGATTGGCTTACTCACTTTCTGTCACAAAAGCAAAAACAAATATTTACATTTAAAAAAAAAAAAAAAAAAAAATGTTCTTCATCAAAGGATTTGAGAATTTATGATAATGGAGGTTAGCGTTGCCAAATTTAAACAATCATAACTAAATGTTGCGATTATGGTGAAATTTGTACGATTTAATGTCCGAGCGGCTCGTCTCATTTTGATCATAATTACCATGGTAAAACAACTTAAGTCGATTGACGGCGAAAGCTACCCTCATTTTGCCGAACTCGACAGAGACGAGTTAAGCACATGGCGCCATAAAGATTATGGTAAAATTTTATAATTTTTTTGTCCCAGCACTCTTTCTATAAAATGGCAATGGAACTGATTCATTTGATTGTGATTTCCATGGCGATAAATCCTTCCTATATACTAAATAAGCTCTGTCAACGTGGCAGCTAGCCTCTCTCATGCAATTTCCTTTCCATAGTTTTTAAGAAAGCTTAAGGTAACCGTGATGAACACACAACGACATTGTGATCATGGGGAAAATTTTGATTCAACGTCCGGCGATTTTTTTCATAAAAGCAATGGAACCCACTCGTCTCTCAATTTGATCGTGTTTGCCATGGATACATCCTGAACAACTTTACAAAAAAAAAAGAAAAAAAAAAGACAAATACAGTGAAGAGTCAATCAAAGCCACCGAGAGATCTTTTCATAAAAAAACGTAAAAGAACCGAGTTGTCTCTTGTTGTACTCGTGGTTACCATCACAACTTCTCGAAATAATAGATTTCAAATGATAAGCTAACATCGCTAAACATCAAGCGACAGTGACATTTTTGCAATATACTGTCAGATGAGTCTTGGCAGTGACTCGTCTTCTTTTTTGATTGTGGTTACCATGGGGATACACCCTTTACAACCACACGAAATAAATCGCATCAAAGCGGAAGCTAGCCCCGTTTTAGGTCCTCTTCGTGAAAACATACAGTAAACGAGTTAAAAGCGACGTTGCGATTATGGTCAAGTTTTTTACAGTTCTCGATCAGGTCTTTTGTAAAGCACATGGCCAGTTCCTTTCTTTTCGAAAAAGCTCCACCCACCCTTGACGGGTGACTTATCAGGAAGCTCTTCTCCTTCATCTTAAAAATTTAAGGTCCCCTTGGTGGTGCGTTCACAGAAAGCAGGGATTTTAACGTTTTATTCTACGCTTCAGAAAGCAATGAGCTATTGCAGTAAATGGGAAAAAACCCCAGTAGTTTTATTTTATTTGCATTATTCTAGTAATAGTAAATAAAGCTGTTGGGACTAGTGAGAAACACGTTTTCCTGTAAAACTTGCTAGCTAGCTTCAAAAAGCTTTTGGCCGTCGCAATCCGGAATTTGTTGTTGGTCAAATGTTTTGTTTATGCTCAAAATTCCTTCCATTAGCGTCGCTTTTTGAGGATCAAAGTCGCTCCTCAGGGATTTGGGGAGGGGGGAATTTTCGCATGCGTTGAAACATTTCAAATGCCTCCTTCATCCTTTTGATTCACAAAGGCGGCGGCGGCATCAATGTCGCTGGTTTAGAAAATGCTAAATGCTTCATTCAAGGCGCGGAAATAACGAAGCTGAGAAGGGCAAGATGGAAGGAAATGAGTACAGCAAGTAGCCACATGACAGTGAAATAAATATTTCTTATCTTGTTTTAAAGCCATTCATCCACTGGCCTGGCCATTTTGGGAAAGGGTTGGGAAGAAAGTGAGGGGTTGGGCTTTTAGAGGGGCTGGGGGGGTGGGATCTATGTGAAACTCTGGAGAGGCTGGCTGACCCGCATGCAGGCCCAGTAGAAGGCCCGCGCCAGGGTCCCCAACACCAGAAGGAGGAGAACGGCCCATGAGGCATAGATGCCAGGGTAAGTTTCAGCCTTCAGCCACGTGCCAGCCTAAAGAGATAAGGGTGTCATGTCAGGAAGATGCCCGTACCAACGTGAAATTCAATAGCAACAGCTATCATGAGTTGCCCCCGCCCAATAAGTCAAAAAAAGTTAGGTAGGAAAAGACACAGGAGGTCTGCCATTTCATTTTGGTTGGTAGCTGCCAAGTTAGGGTGATTTTGGCCATTTCCAGGCATCCATCAAGGCAACTGCGTTCTCCGAGATTGTAAAAAAAAACAAAAAAAAAAAAAACAAACAAAACAGTTTGACATGAGCACAGCAAAATTTTATCACGACCTCTGCTGTAATAATAGTTAACAAAAACTCACGAAATAACGAAAACAGACATTGGAAAAAAAATACCTCAAAAGAAACAGGAAGTCTGACTTTTTTAATCTCAATTTTAAAAAGTTGATTTTGGCCATTGCCATGGGTTCTTCAAAACAAACTTATCCTACAGTTTGATATTTTCCAACTTCTGCTGCATATTTCGTTCCATAAGGATTTTGACTGAGCACGGAGGACTTCTAGTGAGTTTGTCAAGCTCAAGTCCAATTAGACGGCCCGCCACCAGAATTCCACTTGATGATGAAACTAAGCGCAGTACAGCTGTTGTGGCTCTTACGGTGAGGATTACGGATATGATTTTAAAGCACATTTCAATTAGTTGTGCAATTGGAAGCTGCATCGCGTCAGCAGCTTGGGGGGGAGCGGAGAGAACAAATCAGCTCCTTTGTGGTCCTTTAGCGGCCTCTGCTGGCCATCAAAAAGAATGCATTCAATTGTTTTCCATTTGCTGGGCTTGATTCTTGTTTGACTGGAACAAAATGTGGCTTTTTGTTTGTTTGATTTTGTTTGTTTTTTTACACTTTTTTCCATGTCTGTGATGCTGAAAACGTAAGGCATCCATAACCAGATTCTCTCAGCACATCTTGTCCAAATCTGATAAGATTAGACACCATTTTAGAAAGGCAAAGTCGATCATCAAAATAAAGCAGCATAGATCTTGGCATGATCGCGTCATTTTACTCACAATCAGACCAGCAGTAGAGATACAGAACAGCAAGCAGAGCAGAAAGCACCACAAGCTCCGCCTCCTGGGATAACGCTGACCAATGGAGGAGCTGCGAGGGTGACAATGAAGTTGAGGATGTTTGCAAAATTGATTCTTCCATGATTATTATTGAAAAATATTGTTGTTGTTGGCCTGAGATGACAATAAAAGGATCTTATCTGTGCAAAACAGACATTTGGACAGTACACCCCCAGCCCCCACCCGTCTCAGAGGGAAAAAAAAAAAAAAAAAAAAAAAAACAACAACAACAACATTGAGATTCTTCAATGGGGCTGAAAATTATGGAGGATTCAAATTAACTTGCAAATTTCAGGCACTGCAACAGGAAAAGTGCAGCACAATATCACATAATGTTGGCTGTTATAAGACCCTGACACTACTGGGATGCACACATAACATATGCCATAGCATTACGTAAAAATAGAAATATTAGTTGGAAAATACACAAATAGAAAAAAACATATGAGAAAAAATAGTAGGAAAATACAAATATATTAAATAACAGAAAAAAAATCCAAATTACAGGATCCCCCAGCAAAAGTTTGGAATAATGGGAAAAAACATTATTAAACGAATAAAAAATATATGTCACAAAATTACAAAATTGTACCAGAATATTAAGAAATATATATATATATACACATATTTTTTTAAAGAAAAAAACAAAACAAAACAGAAGAATATGACAAATGTACAAAAATACTTGGGGGGGATTAAAAAAACAAAACTATAATATATTCAATAAAGACAAAGAAAAATATATGAAAAAAGAAAAAGGAGAAAAAAGCTCGTTACACAATATTAGGAAATCAACTAAAATAATACTAGAAAAGAAATATTCAAATATTTGGAATATAACAGAAAAATATCTGATGAAAAATACATTTTCAGAATTGAGGAAGAAAGAAGAAGAAGAAGAAGAAGAAAAAAAAAAAAAGAAGATAACTACTCACACTTTCCTGCAATGCGGACATCTGGCCAACGTGCGGTCTGTGAACTCTGTCCACTGCAAGCACAAAGCATTCTGTCACTCAATTTTTCCCTGCACTGCATCTTTTCTTGATCACTTCAAGTCGGTCTGGTTGTTATGATTATACAAAGGTGTCGTCTATTTATATGAAGATATAAAGCATCCAGACATTCTGTGTTAACAGTGCTTGCCTTGGGGGAGTAATGTGTAACCCTTCATGACAAAAAAAGAGACCTTTAGAAAAGTCCAGTACGTAAACTAAGCATTATATCAGTTTAGATGAAGACGAATCCTCATCGTGTCCGTAGAAATGTTGGCAAGTATTGGCTCGCTAATTACGCGGTGAAAAAAAAAAAAAGTCTGAGGTCCTTGCCGCGGCAGCTTGGAGGCCGTTAAATTAAGGACGCCAGCAGCCGCGGGGACAAGTGGACGATAAATTGCTGCATAAATGAGAAGGAATGATGGTGTTTAGCAGACTTTGTACAGCTGGGGGGAAGAAGAAGAAAAAAAAAAACGCTAAATAGAGAGCGTGCTAGACGAGGTACAGGAACAGGTACACATAGCCATTGTTCTTCATTTGTATGTGCAGCACAGACAAGTTTATCAGGCAATCGGTGACAAAGAGATCACGCGACAGCACAGATTAGAACTTGTGTTCCCCACCAGGACAGGCACAGGCTCGCTGAATGCTAATGTATAAGTGGCCTCACTCGACGCTTTTTATTACCTCGACCAAGGACGGAGTCACGTTTGCGTCGCTGTTGGGTTTGTTAGGAAGATGATGCAAAAAACAACCTTTGTGGAATCCCTACATTTTGGTGTAAATACAGATTTAAGCATGGTAGGTTATTTGAACACTGTGTGGTGTGTTTGTGAGAGTGAAAGGCCGTTTGTCTACGTGTGCCCTGCAATTGGCTGGCAACCAGTTCAGGGTCTACCCCACCTACTGGCCGAAGATGGCTGGGATAAGCTGTAGCAAGATCGTGACCCTTTTGAGCGAAAGCGGCTCGGATCATGGATGGGTGGATATTAGAAAAGCCTAACTTCGTATTTTTCTATTCTAAAAAAACCTATAGATGTTGTACTTATATTTTATATTGCATTCTGTTCTGTGTACTTTTTTAAATTTATTTTGTGCCTGCAAATACTTCACGTTTTTCTACTTTCTTCCCTCCAAATTCTGCTGCTGTAAATTGCGAATTTCTCCATTGTGAGACAAATAAAGATATCTTCTTATTTTTTATCAATAATTTGAATGTTATTTATACTTTGAAAATCATTTAAAAAAATTATTATTATTATTGTTATGATGATGCTTAGCTAACTCACATAACGAGGTGAACCGAATGGGAATGAACGTGTTTATGAAAGTGTTTAAAGGGAGAGGGGACGGAAGGCGTACCAGGAAGGTGTTGCTGCAATGTCCGCAGGAGACACGGGCCCCGGCGGGCTGCGGGTCGGGACTGGCCGGACCGGGATGGACCGGACCCAGGTTGATTATTCGCTTACTGCAAACCCACACACACAGAGCAAAAATAAGACACCAATCGAGAAAAAAAATGCCACTTGTCATACTGAGGCTGTCCTAACGAGCGAGCAATCTTGAACATCAGCACTCTGCAGCACGCACACTCAAGTCTCACACTCATACTGTCTGTCTCACACACTTACAAACATTTTAACTCTCTCTCACACTTACACATGGTGTGTCATGGAGTGTGTCATGCAAGTACCAGTAGGGCCTGGGACACGCAATCCGCTGGGAGGTGACTTTGCAGATGAGCAGGCAGTTGCAGGGACAGCGTACGTACTTCTTCCCGGCCGGCGCGTTCTTGATGGGCTGCGCACAGAAAAGAAACTCTCCACTTCACATGGACATCAGAATCACAACATCATGCGGGCTGAGCCATGCGGTTTGACGGTTCAATTTCGGTTCATTTGTTGAACACTTATAATGTTATTTTCACAATGTGTCGAGAAAAAAAATATTATTTATTATTTTTTTTTAGTATTTGTGTTGGAAGAAAGCTGGATTTTTACACTCCGGCGTCTCAGATGGAAACTGAGCTCTTTTGTTGCTGCAGTGCAGTGAAATAAATAAATAAACACAAGGGCAACAGAAACCAACATGAACAATGCAATCATGTGAGCGGCTTCTCAGACAAAGTTCCCACAGCATGCTGTGGCTGATGAATTTGCACAAAAGATCACATACAAGTCATATGCCTTCAACTGCAGGACCTCACTTGCAAGCCTGACTACAATGATAGGCAGTGGAGCACAGACCTCCACCAAGGCAAAAAAACAAGGCCACTGTATTTCCTCACAAAAAAATCATCAAATCTTTTTTTTTTTTTTTTTTAAACATCTTTATTTGGGCAAAGCCATTTAATTTGTACAGGGCACATATATACGAACAACGATCCGCGGTCTCAATCACACCTAGGGACAATTTAGAGTGCTTCATCAACATGCCATGCATGTTTTTGGAATGTGGGAGGAAACTGGAGTACCCGGAGAAAACCCACGTAGAAACTGGTGATGCAAATTCCACACAGGAAGGCTGGAGCCAGAATCGAACCCTGCACCCCTGCACATGCTAACTAGTTGACCACAGTGCCGCCCCATGTGTCAGATTGTTTATTTGATCAGTTATGATAAATTAACCAATTATGTAATACGATAAATACATTTTTTTTAAATCAAAAATGAATAAATATTTTTAATTAATAATGTTTCAGAAAGAACATAAAAAGACTGAACGTAGTTTGCTAGTTTTGCTTGTAGTTTGTTTTGTTTTGTTTTTTTTTCACCAGTGGTAGTGAAGTGAATGAGTCAAGGAGGTTGAAGTACTACTTGAAGTAAGTACACTTAAAGAAGCTTTTTACGATGGCGACAGTCTGAGCCAGGATGGATTAATTGACTTTACATTATTCTCAATGAAACCAGTAAGACGCATTAGCCGCATGTGTTTTTCTTGGGAGGGAGTTTGGAACGTACCGTGGCCTCATTGCACACGCCGCACTTGACCACGTGTTGATGGATTTTTCCCTCCACTGAGATGAGACTCTGGCACACCCGGCAGCTGATGACGGGCGCGCTGCCGCTCTCAGGCGAGGTGAGGGGCGAGTACGGAGGCGGGTCCTCACCCAGGAGCACCGACGGCTGCGTGGGGCTGGGGAAGGGTGGGAAACCTCAATTGGGGAAAAACAAAACAAAACACAATAATGATGACAAATATGCCAAACTACAGATGGCGTCATTTACCACATCTGGATTTAAAAATGAGCATCTATTTATTACTGAATCAAAAACCGCATAAAACAACTGACAGGAAAGAGGTAATTGGTCATTTAATGTTTTGCACACAGACCAGCATCCTCAATGTATTAAAACTTATTTCTCTGCAAAATTACAAATCAATTCAAATAAAAATTACAAATGAATTATGATAAACGTTACATTTTTGGGGAAAATTTGGTTTGTTTTCTTGTGAAATAAAATGTTACCCCTGTCTCTTTCGTTACATTTTTTTCATATTACAAATTTAGTCTTGTAATTTCACAACTTTGTCTGCGGAATTCTTCGAAATCATTTATTCTCGTAATATTTCAACTTTGTTCTTGCAGAATTACACTGTTACGTTTTATACTCATAATAAATCTGTCATTCCTCATATATTACCACAACTTTTCGTAAAATTATAGACACTATTTATTCTCACAAAATGTCGACTTCATTCTTTTAAAAATACTATTTGTGAAAGTGTGTGTGCGTGTATATATATATATATATATATATATATATCTCAAGTTACATTTTTTGCTCATAATACAAGGACTTATTTCATGTAATTTCATTCCTTGGTTCTCGTAAAAATTCCAATACAAGTTGGAGTACACAGAAGTGCCAAACAATGGTTTTTGTGCAACAGGGCTGTAAGGGAAAAAAAGAAGTCTAAGTTCCCATGACAAGAGACCTCCTTATGATTAACAAGCTAATAAGATTTGGTCTCGAGTTCTGCTTTCTGAAAGCAGCTTTTGCAAGTAAAACACTCTTGGAATGCTCGGATGAATATCAAACCCATCAAGCTGCTAGAAATGCCTGCCTTATAATATTGCTGTATCTTACTAACTGGGTGAAAATGAGCATTTTTTTTTCAATAAAATATCCAATTAGACGAGGTTTTAAAAGAAAATTAAACATTACATGGACGTGACATGACTCTCAATAATCGAGCGCACATTGGCCAGAGCTTAGCTTGACCCCGAGCTGCGCCGTGTGACGGGCCGGCTCAATCAAAGGCGCTGCTAGCCATTTAAACAGCTCATTAACGTTAATTCTGGTGCAAACAAGCGATGCTAAGCTCTTCACATGCCACCAGAATGTTCTAAATAAACCCTAGCGAAGTCCCCTTGATGATGAGCTGCGAGGTTGACGTTTAACTAGCTTTAAAAGTAGCTTTAAAACGGAAAACAGTCTTAGTAAGCTAGGAGGGATTCGCGCATTCATACCGTTCGTATTGAACAAGGTTGACTAAATATTATTGCTTTTGTCACTGATTTCATTAGAAATGCGTAAATATTCGTTGGAATGCATGAAAAGACGTAGTTTCAAAGTTGACAGAAACGTGACATTTGAACGCAACCTCTCCCTCCTCGGCCTCCCACTGGCCAGAAAGCTGCTTAGACCCGCGCTTTACTAGCCTTTCGATTGGCCGCGGAACGTGTCAATCAAAACAGGTGCTTCTCGCGGTTGCTAACCAGTGAACCAGCACAATTAGCTTATTTGTGTTCAAACTAAGCCACAATGAGCGTTTAAAACGCAACTAATACATTTTACATGAATCGTAATATAATCGTGGTAATGATAAATCGCTCATTTGACGCTCAGCGATCATTTTGGCCTGATAACAACCGCTAGCTCGCGTGCTATTACAACAGAGTGGTTAGCTGTAGTGATGCGTTCAGGTCCTTAGAGGAACAATACAGTCAAAACAACATATTCAGTCTCCTCCAGGAACAGTCGATAACCGACGTCTTCTCCCGGGGTACAAACAAGCACGACGCGCCGGTACTCCGTCACTTATCACAGCGCCGAGCTGACTGTTAGCATAGGCTAGTCGGGGCGGAGGATGGTGAGGGCGAAGGCAGCGGCGAGAAGGCTACTCACTTTGCGGCTTGCCGCCCACACCGTAGGGCGCCGCGCCGGGCGACAGGCCGCCGTTGCCGCTGCCCGGTGCGCCATCGCCCAGATCGGACAGGAGCGGGGACCTCTCGCCATCCGCCATGCCGAAAGCGAGAGCGAGAGCGAGCCTGGAGCGGAGGGAGGGAGGGAGGAAGAGGCCAGGAGCTCTTGCTTACGAGAGTGTGTATTGTAATGTTGTGTCGGAAATGCGAGCGTCACGTGACCACGTGGCCGCTGCTGTGTTGACGACGCATGCGCTTGTGCACAAGCACCACAACTAGTCCTACATTTAAGATGAGAAAACCTTTACAATATAAGCATATTAAAATGGGTGAGTGGGGGTAAGTCCAGGTTTTCAATTTGGTCAATGTCTTGCAAATTTAAATGACTAAACTTTCCATACAGCGAAGTTTCACCTCTGCTGTAAAACGTGTCTGTCTTATCCTCTGTAACGAATACTTAAGCGTAATGCAGTCACTTTTGGCCGGGGGGAGCGGGGGGCAAACAAACAAACCAAACAACAAAACAGTTTTTCTGCTCAGTTTTTTGTTTCTGTTTTCCATTATATTCTTTTTTTTTCCTTTTTGTGTTTTTTTTAACTGATTTGTTTTCAGTTTCTCGTTAAGATTCTTTTGGGTTTTTTTTCGGGAATAGTTTTTGGATTGCTTTCCTGAACTTTCCCCCGTTTTTCATCAGTTTTTGGAATCGTTTTTCTTCTGTTTTCATATTGAAAATACAGTTCAATATAATTGAGAAAAACGTTTTAAATTTTAGGGTGATATGTTGAAAACATGTTGCATATGTTTTGTTCTTAATTTTTTTTCTTCAGAAAAAGTCATACTGTATTCAAGAAAACGTTGAATATCTTTGAGAAAAACATTTGCCTATTTTTTAATTGAGAAAAGTTGCAAAAAAGTCCTATTTGCGGAAAGAAGTTGCTTTCTTTGTAACAAATATTAAAACCATTTCGTAAATATGAGTTACAATTTTCAGTCTATTTTCAAGGAATTTAATTTATTTTTGAAAACGCAATTAGTTGAAAAGTTCAGTATTTTATATTAGAAAAAAAATATGTTTTTCATATGTATCTGACAAAAAAAAACTGAATATTTTCTTGAAAATAAAATATTTTCGAAAGTTATATTGGAGAACATTTTAAAGACAGTAATAAAAACGTTGTTTTAAGTTGTGCTTTTTTGTCGAAAAAAGTTTACATTTAACAAATTAATGTGAGGAAATAATATATTGACCTAAATCAAAGTTAAAAAGTGTTCTTCTACGTCTACAAACATTTTAATACTACAGTGCAGTTCTGTACTGTATTTATTATACGAGACAATTGACGTGGGATGCAGTCGCAACGTTTATCCACTAGATGGATTAAAACACTCAAAAAGTCTCGGGGAAGGAAAGAAACAACATTCATCCGTTTTCTGTCGCGCTTGTCCACATTAGGTTTATCTACATACCCTGCAATTCAGTGGCAATCAATAATGCAACATGGCTTCTTCTCATCTGGGTGTGGGATATTCTCCAGTTTAGCCTCGGACGAACAAGCACCATAGAAAATGAATAGAGCGTGTACCTAATGAAGTGTCCCTTGATATTTAGTTCTCAATATAATACGTGTAAATTACACTGTAGGACCGAGGACCAAAAATTGATTCGAGATACTTTTTTGTAAGGTTACAAATTGAGATTTTAAGGGGGGAAAAACTGTTTAAAGTGACCACAAGAGGGTCCCATGGAGTTCTCTGGCATAGAAATTGCCTTCCGCCTGCAACAAAAGATGGTTTGTGGGCCCATTGGCACTGAGTAACTTCCTCCTTTCCTCTGCTTGTGGAACACCTGCGACCCCAGAAAGACTAGAATAACATAATGACAGCCTTGTTTGTGCGGGAATGATGCCCGCCTTTCCTGTCGCACGGCTAAGATTAGCGCGCACGCACACACACACGCGCACACAAGCGCGCACACACACACGCGCGCACACACACGCTCTGCAGCGTGAAGTCTTTAAGTCCACGTCACCAAACCAAAAGGTTTTATTTTGGTGGGAGAAGTGGGAGGATTGGAGCATGTAAAAATAGTTAGACATCAGACAGTATCAACTCGAGGCAAAAATAAAGACGATTAGAAAACTATACAGTGGAAGACAACAGCAGACTAAAAACATTTGCAGCGATGGATGCAGGGTTCGTTGGCAACGGGCGGCAATATGATGAAGCAGTCATAACATGTACATCGGCACCGCAACAAAAACGAACGTAACTGGACTGACTTGGCCTTATGACACGGAACCCAGCAAAAGGAGATTGTTGCAAAGTAATCGCAAAGATTTTCCAATGTCCGCCTTTGTGTTTTAGGCAGAGATCCTGCTCAATTCCAGCATCTGAGCAGAAAACAAAGTACAGTAATTTCATCTGCCTTCAGATTTTATGCAGAGATTCTGTAAATTCCTGCACTGGCGTGTTAACAAAAGTATTGAGTATTTCTTTTTTTTCCCTTTTACAGAGTGACAGTGCAAACAGCAGCAATGCAGCAGCACTGTAACAGAAAGAACCAGATTTAATTTACCCTTGCCTTTTGCACAGGGATTATGCAAAATGACTGAATCTGAATGGCAACAAAATCTCTGGTATTTATCTGTTTTCTTTTCTTTTTTTTTTTTTAGGGTGCTTTTACACAGAGTTCCTGTAAAATTCCTCCACTGGCGGCATGACAGAAACAGCTGGAATTTATCCACCTTTGTCAGCTGAATTTCTGCACCAGAACAATAACAGAAAGAGTCAAACATTTTCATCTTTTTCCTTTTTTTTTTTACAGAGATCCTGCACAATTCTTGCATCAAGTGGCAACAAAATATCCAGTATTCATTGGGCTTTGATTTTTAGACAGAGATTCAAGCAAAATTGCTGCATCAAAGCTATGTGACAAAAGACCCCATATTTATCTGCCGTTGCCTTTTCACACAAAACCTGGCCAAGGCGGGATATTTACACGACTTGGTGGATTTTCACACGACACATACTCCTGCTATCCGATTTTAAGATGTATAAACAGTTGTCAGACAGCAACAGTTGCCTTCAACACAAAAGGGCGGGAAAAGTAAGTGTTGAGGAGTAAACTTTCAGCATTTCGGCACCTGGCCTCTATTACAGCCCTGATAGAACCTGCAAAAGACAGAATATTGCCAGTGTCTGGTGTGATGCGTAAAATCCTTTGTCAGCATGCACAAAATCCTTTCAGCGCAACAGGACAGGAGAAGTGACATCAGAAATTCCTTTGGGTTGGGAATTGCTGGGTTGACTTCTTCTAAACCGATTTTGGGCGCTGCTGCCCTTATAAGACAGAAGAGCGACAGTGAAAAGGCAGAAAATGGCAGTGTGAAAGGGGGCTTGGAGTCCTGTCGAGTGGATCAGGGACAGGGCGGGCTCAGAAGAGACAGTTCATGCACTTGACGGCTTTGCTGCCGTAGTCGACGCACTCGGGCCCGATGCATTGACAGCAGGCGTTGTGGAACCAACGGTACTTGGAGCCCCCCATGGACTCGCAGTACAGTTTGCACTGGCGGATGGACACGCAGTCGTCAAAGTACACCACCGTGCACATGTTCTCTAAGAGAAGAAGCCAGGGAAAATATTATTATTTAAATAGTTTGTATATATTTTTTGCAACAAACCTCATCAACTCATTCTTTATGTCATAAGAATTTTTTTTTTTACATGAACATTTACTACAACCCAGGTAAAAATTCAATTTTGGGAAAAAAAAAGAAGAAAATCATTGACTCAATACGAAGTTGCAATAGGATGAAGAAAAAAAAAGATAAACTATAAATTTGCAACATAATCAACTCAAATCAACCGCATTAAAAATCACTTACCAGATCTGTAATTATTTTGTCAACATGACCTGCTAAGATGACGCAATGATAAAACAAGTCCAAAATGTCAAAATGAATTTCACAAAAAACCTCATTGACTCACACGTCCTATTAAAACCCTCGCTGAGTGCTTTCCATATCTGTAATTATTTTGTTAATATTTCATCAAGAGATGAAGTAACAACGAAAAATTCTCACCCTGTGCGTCATAGCTGGCGTGGATGCTGTTGGAGGGCACCGACACGTTCTGGTGCGGGCCGTCCAGCGACTCCAGGAAGGAGACCAGGTTCTCGTGGTGGGACAGCTCCTCGGCCACGGGGAAGGAGACCACCATCATGTTGACGGGCGCGTCGCCCTCAGTGAGGGCACGGAAAAGCGATGGGATGGGCCGGTGCAGCTCCTCTACTGTGCTCTTGGATGTGGCCGGAGAGTCGCTGTAGTTCTTGGGGTTGCACATTCCTGACGATGATGGCAACAATTGCACAATGGTATTAGGATAACTTTAATTGTCATCATCTAGGAGCAAAATCCTCATGACTTTTTTTTTTCTTGAAAAGTATTACATAAAAAGTTGGAAATATTAAGATAAGAGACATCGGCTATAGATGGTGCTTTAATTAAAAATTTAAAAACATTTGAAAAATCACCATAGGGAGAAGAAAATATATATTTAAAAATATATTAGTGCTGTCAATTTAACGCGTTAATATCGGCATTAATTTAAATCAATTTTAACGCGATTCATTTTTTATTGTGAGATTAATGCGGCAAAGATAATGCTCTAAAATAATAAAATGTGCTCCAAGTTTGAATAACTGCTCCAAGTGGAAAAAGGTTCATGTAAGATTGAAAATCGAAATTGTTGTTTCAGTAAATATTTGCATTTTGCACAAAGAAAACTGATCCACGATTCCATGATGATGAGAGCATTAAAATGGGGAAAAAAATAGGTCAAAAAGAAATCAAAGTAAATTTAGAATAGATAAAAATGTGATTAATTGCGATTATGAGTTAACTGTGACACTTATACATTTAAGCGCAATTAAATATTTTAATCGTTTGACAGCACTTATACGTAACCCAGCCGCTGGGGAGCAGTGCCCTCCCCTGGGGGTGCACTGTTCCCCAGTGCCGGTCCCAAGCCCGGAGAAATGGGGAGGGTTGCGTCAGGAATGGCATCCGGCGTAAAACTTTTGCCAAGACGACCATGCGAGTTGGTAGAACGGTTTACAGGGCGGATGGAAATTACTGACTCGCTGTGGCGACCCCTGAATAGGGACGTGCCGAAAGGAGAAAAAGAAGAAGAAGAAGACAGCACTTATACGTATATATGTGCCCTTTCTCACACTTAGCGGAGTTATCAGCAGGACGCTCACCTACGCAGTCGCAACACTCCTCCCACAGGTTGCCCAGGCACAGCATGCACTCCTTGCAGCATGAACAGTTGCCGTCGGTTGGGCGGCACTGGCACAACTCCTGAACACAAAACACGGGAAATTGGGATTAAAGAGTCAAAATAGACGCCATGTGTTATTTGATTTGTTCCAGCCAATCAGAAAGTACACAA